CTTGGTGGTTTTGTTGCTGCTAACATTGTTATGTTAGCCCACTGGTGCACGGGGCTATGTCTGGTCCCTCAGTTGTGCGGCAGAACTGATACTTTTTTTTTCGGGTAAGTTGATAACTCGAGAATCTGAGAAACTACAAGGCTGAAATATTAAGAGGATTTTCTCCGTCCAATTAGGTATTAAGGAGCTCAAACCCAGCCCCCGGGTAAGCGTGGTACCCATGTACGGTTTCGTTAAAGTTTTTTTTCAAATATGTTGCTAATTCAGAAGCCAGGAAAGCTTGAAAGCTGGTATTTTAAGGGGGGTTTTTCCTGAAAGTTCTGAAGACCAGTCTAAATTTATTTTGCTAGAAGCATTTGCTGAGAAAGCCGGTGTCGGTAGCAAAAAAAACTGCGGGCAACTATGCAAAAAACGCATCTTCGCATGGGCAGCTCGTGCGCTGGCGAATTATTTAGTATTGAATTCTAAGATACTTATTAAGTTTAAGCAGAACTGTAAATGGGTTATTCCGAGATTAGGTACATGTATTTGCACAAATCATATGGAAAAAAGCTGGGCAAGGCGAAGAGGACCAGCGCCACCAATTTCATTTCTTGCTAATAACAGCACCTCTTTCCTTTTGCAACAATAATGGTGAAGGTATTAATTTGATAAGAAAATGATTGCAGCCCTAGACTGCACGAATACCTTATTCCTGGTTCCCTCATTATGAAGCTCTTATTTCCATTCTTGGACTATCTGGACACTTTGTCTCTTCTTCTAATTCATAGGAATATTAAATCCCGCTGCTGGACTGTGTGAAAATCGTGTCCCCAGGTTCCGGGCTGTTTCCAATCTTGGACTTTAGGGGAAACCTCCTCTTCCCAGTTCCAGGCCATGAGGATATATAAAGCTCGAGTTTTGGGCTATATTTTCGTTCCTGGAAGTCCTTCTTTTGGCTGGTTCCGGGCAATGAAATTGCCCCCCTGGTTCGGAAGAAAGTTTAATTTAAGAAATTTGAAAGTGTAGTTGTATTTTGAAGGAATGAATGGCATTTGCTGTGGTCCGTCGAACTACTGTTGCTGCTGCTGTTGCTTGTGCACATGGCCGTCGGTTGCACACCCTTTGCTTCTCGGCGCTTGCCTCTTGTAGCACTGTAAGTGTCCTCGTTGCTTTGCAATTAGCACATTCCGCACAGCCCCTCCGCACTGCACTGCCTTAAACACTTAGCAGCCCTAACCGCAATGCTACTTTCCTTATGGCCCTGCTGTCGCGAGCGAGAGGCCCTTCTCCAAAAGTCATTATGAACTGGGCAGAATTCGAACCAGTCCTCTTCACGTCCAGACGCAACGCGTTACCACTACACCACCAGTTTTTGTGCTCCAAATTCAGCCTAGCAGCACGTCTACTGTGTATCTGCCTTTCAAGGCAGAATTCACCTTTCTTTTCTTCTCTTTCCCTTTGTGGCGGCTTTTTAGCCGGCTTTTCGCGGGTTTTCCACTACAGTTGCACAGCTGAGTCATTTACATCCCTCATTTGTCGCTTTCGAGCCGCATATTTAGAAAGGCTTAGTACACTGAAACTCAGCATAACAGGTGCTGAGAAATCGATGGTAAGGAGATGAAACGACAGGTCAGAGCTGACGACTGGATTATTATTGACCATGACCACAAATGCCTTGTTGATAAGCTTCTTGAGTGCGCACAGAACGAGCCAATTCCACTGGCTAGACCTGGGCAATCAAATTCGAGGATTTTTGTAGCTGCAGCACTTTCAAGAGCACAGAAGAAACATGAATGGAGATAAAACTGGAGACGTGGAATGCTCTTTTTCTGTCTTTTGCAGACATATCAAATGAGAAATAATCGATTGCGCGTGTTATGCATGCCATTTTTTCGAAATTCATTTGAGTGGTTGTTCTCTGTTTCGCTGATATCACTGATTCATACGTCACGTAGTCTGTTAACAGTAAGCAAAGTAATTTTTACTTGCATATATCTCCTTTTTTTTGCTTTTTTTGTTGCTTGTTTTACCATTTTTTTTTTTTTTTCAACAAATTAATTCGATTCTTTTAATTTCGAACGGATCGATTTTTTTTTTTTGTGTTTTTATTTTTAATTAATCGGACAATTTTTTTTCAGGTTCAGGCCACTATGAACTTAACGGATGGTATCCCGAATAGGAAGTTGGAATCGTTCCGAGCACTGTTCACCCGTGATGATATCGTAAAGCTGGCAGGCGGTGTAATCGATGCTTATCTGTTACCCAGTACTGATGCGCATCAGGTTCCCACAAATCATTGTTTTTTCTTATTGTAGTTAGAACCAATGATTTAGCTTCGGGGGTGGCAGGCATCCCTTGTTCCTTAAATGAATGATAAAATCATTATTTAGGGAAGGAAAAATGCGGTAAATTCAGTCTATAGGCATAAAACTCTACATAAAACTCTAGTAGAATAACGCTGGAAGAGACGGAGAGAGGAAAAAACGAAAGGAGATTGGGAGAAACGTGAACTTTAGCTATAACAACATAGAATTTGGCAAGCTCTTTCTTTCTTAGAGAAAACCGTATTGTTTCCCTTCTTTCTTGGGAGCAGATGCTAGGTATATCTTCCTATTGCCAAAAACCCATTACTAAGGCTGCCCGAGTTATCAGCGCAGATATCTATTTAATGTTACTGAGTTGCTGACCTCAAATGCCGTGCGTAATTACTATACCAGGCTTTCATTCCTGGATCTCATGCCTCCAGCTAGTACCCACCGCTTGTTCGATATATGTGTGCCGCTTTTCGAATCCTGTGCGAGTCGTAATTTTTTTTTTTCAAAGCCAAATAATTGGTTTAAATTCGGCACAGAGCGTATGCCTTTTTCATGATTTCAACGTAAGCAGAACTTTTTTAAGTTTAGCCTGCAAAAACAGTGCGTTTACCAGTGGTTTTAGAGTGAATATATCTCGGAGCATGACTTCCGCGTTCGTTTCTTGTCCGGATTCTCCGGATCGAGTGCATTTGCGCTGATAACACCACGCAAAGCATTGCTTTGGACCGATGGCAGGTATTTCATACAGGTTCGTAATATCGCCCACCGGTTGTTATTAAAATTTATCTGCTCGCCGACTTAATCTTTTTATGCTTTGTTTGAAATCTGCCTCTGTTCGCATCAAAAAATGAATTAGAAAGTGAAGAACATAGAAGAAAAAATTAGAAAATTAGAACATAGAAATGGAGCATAGAAGTTTTTTGCTTTGCGTTCAAAATTAGAACATAGAAGTGGTATATTATATATATGGCTTTGATAGTACTTGATGAGAAGTTTAGGCTCGAGCACAGTTGGAACCAGGCTGGAAGCTGATGAAAGACGCTGTCCCAGGTGCAATTTCAACCACCGAATGGATGGTTCAAAATCTGAAAGCCGGTAGCCGAGTAGCTTTTGATCCGAAGCTGTACAGACACGGTAAACTTTGTTTTTACCTCCCAATTCAAGAAATCTTTGTTTTTCTTTTAAATTTTTCTAATAATTTCACTAATTTCCCGTCACAAGTTTTTGCTTGATCCGAGAATTTTGATCCGAGTTATTGCATCATGTCCAAAAAACTTTTAGCTGAAGCTTTGCGGCTGATGGCTACTTTAAGGAGTGTTGGCATCACAGTAGTACCTGTGCAAGGCAACTTAGTCGATATTATATGGAATAATCGGCCAAAAGAACATTATGGCACGGTAGGCGGTATATTTATTCGGACATTCACTTTCATTTCTGCAACTGGAATAGCTAGGAAGCTGAAATTTCATGAGCACATTCACGGTCAGTATGTAAGATCCCGCAATCTCTGGCATACATCCCACATACGGACGTATAATTTGAACTTTTTCGAACCGGCCATCAGTTTGCTCCCAAACAGTATTCAGGAGGAGTCATTGACAGTTTTATCAGCAGCTAGTTGTTGTTGGCGCATACTGTCAAATGGGTTACTTCCGAGTGCCTTCGCCCCTTATGTGGGGTGGATCCTGGAAGGGTTTCATGAATTATCTGCTATATAGTAACAAAATAAAAGCTTGGCGCGCATATTGAATTGATTTCACGCTAATTTTTATTTAACATTCTTTTTTAAGGTAATTGCAATGAAAAAGGAAGAATACGGGGTAGAAACAAGCGAGAAAATTGAAATAATTCGTGCAGATTTGAAATTGAACGGCTGTTCCTCGTCGATTTTTAGCGCTCTCGATGATATTGCATGTGAGTTAAGAAATTTTTTTTTGGGTCCAGGAGCATTTTCTGCACTTATTCGTAAAAGTATTGGGATGTGTGTTTGTCTGTATACGTGTGTGTTTGTCTGTGAATGCATGTGTGTGTATGCGTGTGTGTGTGTGCGAGTGTTTGCTTCTGTGTGTACGTACGTTTATTTATACATTTATTTATACACAGCTATTCCCAGAAGAGGCGAAAGTGGTTTGTTCATAGTAATTTTGCTTATTTACTGGTAAAAATTTTTTATTGAGGTTTGAATTTTTAGGGTTATTGAACATTCGTGGTTCGGATATTCCTCACAATCCTCTGGTTTATGCAGTCGTTTTCATGACACCCGACGATGTTCATCTGTTCATCAGTGGCAAAAAACTAACCGATGATCTTCGGAAGCATCTGTCTGTTGTCCACATTCATGAATATGAGGAAGCAACTCAGTGGATCAAAGATTGGCTAGGAAATCACAGAGGAATTAAAGTATAATTTATAAATTATAATGGATTTTTTAGTTTGCTCAACGGTGTACCTAAGCACAATCACTTCTTCAGTTCACCACCTCTTTTAACTGGTGATATAATCCAAATCACACAGTTTATTGTTTAGTGACCTCATTTTCAGGTATTTCTTGTTCCCTGTGTTGGCTATAAAATGTTAAAGTGAAATTTAATATTTCCTTTTGAGAGGGCGAAATCACTCGGAATTAGTCTGAACGGGAACAGCAGTCGCTGTCGATGGCTCTCTTTCAGAGTTTGTTGTTTAGAAGGAAGCTAATGGCAGTTCTAACACACCTAGTATTGACTGAGCTGCAGTAATTCGCTGAATGAACAAATCATAAGAAAGTTATCTTATTCCACTGGCGAGATCGAACATTTATCCCTTAGAAACAAACAAACACTTCTTGTCACTATGCTTGCCGGTTACCCTGTTAGTTTTGCAGGGAGTATTTTCAGTTCCTGGAAAAAATATAGGAGGGG